GTTGTTGATGAATGTCTATAGTTTGTTGGAAATCCATTTCGTGATGAGCTAAGTCTCTCAAACATCATATAGAAGCATTGACTTGACTGACTCAGTGTTGAAAATCCGGATATTGTTCACACTGTATGCTGAGTGCAGATCTCCACACTGGTTTCAGATCAATGAAAGCCTGTCTTGCTATTCCGATGCTTGCAGGCTTTGATGTCCTCGTGTGTGTCGTCTGTAGTTGAAACGATGCTGCCTAAGTAGGTGTAGATGAAAGAGACTACTTCCTTTGAGTTTCTCCCATTGATGGTGGTGGTGGTGGTGGTAGTGGTATTGGTTAGGTATCTTCATCACCTCTGCCATCAGCTAGCTGATGTCAATAGATTTACTTTGAATTTTGACGATTAACTCTTCTGCTTACAAGCAAAAATGAATACATAACAGTAGAAGCATTTGGGAAGTTGAATTAAGATTTAAAACTCTACTAATTGAAGAGGTCAGGGGGTATCAGCAGACTGTTGGTATGCAAATTAAAAACTGTTTTACTTTCTTCAATATATGCCAATCATTGTTTTGTTTTTTATTATAAAAAAAGGCACAACATATTGGTACGAAGCATCGAAAGCAGTTGACTGCTGTTTGGCCTACACGTTTCGGCGTTGTTTAGATTCATCAACTTTGTCTTTCACAATACTTATCAACAACTCTATCTTCAATGATATTCAATACTAGAATGTATGTCTTCAAATGTCACAAATAAACTAGGTTAGCAATTTGTCACTCACATATCTCAACCAAACTTGTCGTAAATTCATTACAATCAACTGAAATTTATCCAGTGATTGGTGTAGTGGTGTTGTACCGAAGATTGTTAAATAAGAAAGTCCCCCCCCACCCAACCTAACAGTTGATTCTGTGTGTGGATATTTTATGGTAGTTTGTTTAACATGAGCCATCCTCTCGCTCCCCTTTACTCACTCACTCTTTATAATAAAAGTACAAAATATGCATTTTTGATGAGATTGTCTAAATTCGTCATTGAAGGTTTCATTTTGTCCAGTAGTTGTCACTCGCACATATTCAAATGTGATTCATTAGTTAACCTAACTTGTAAGTTATACCATTTTTGCTTTCTATTTTCTTATATTCCCAAAGAGCAGTTTTATATAATGAGTCGTCAGCATTCTGCAATCATTTCTGAGCAGAAACCCATGACAGATAGATCTACTTTTGTATGTAATTTGTCGTGTATTTCATGAATTATTTAAAGACTGATTACTGGTTGTAGCCAACAGAATATATCATCTCATGAACTGAAAGCAGTTAACTAATCAACAAGAAGGTGAGCTCTACCAACCAATGGACTTCATGAGGGGCGGTGATAGAATAATCCAGAGTAAATTTGCATAAGAAATTGATTAGTTTTATTCATGCCTTTTGAAGTTCCATTAAAATTTTTTGTAGAAGCGTATATATGGACCAGCGTGAGACTGATTTCACAGCGCATACAAAATAGGGAGTGTATACGAAGGATGTGAATCGTAGTTGGAAAATCATCACAGGGGGTTGCTTGCTTAATGACGCCTAAGTTTCTGACTATGAGGTAAAACAGCGGACGTTCTGTAGAGATATACATTCTAGTCGGAATTTAGACGAGTAACATCTTATACAGGTAAAATTCCAGTCTCTTAGCACTGATCTGCATTTCAGAGTGTTATGACTGTGATATTATATTGTCAGCTATAGCACTAATCTAAGTTACTATAGTGGTCATTTGAGTTTCCGATAGGATATGGGTTGAGGGGAGATCTCATCTGGCAGCCAGTATGATTCCGGCAAGCGAACAGAGATGCATTATGAATTCACATGGCAGTTGGACGAAATGTTCAGCGACTGAAGTGGAGCTAAGATCTGGTCATCATTTGGGTTGAGTAGCCCTGGGCAGAGTCGGTGCACCAGAGACGCTGGTTCGAATCCTGCCGAAAGTAGGTTGCACTTCGCCTTCGACCATCACAAAGTATCAGTAACACCAAGTTGTTGGTCTTATGAAAAATGAGAAATGAAATTCACGGGACTACCGATCCATGTGGTCTTATATCCAGAAACTGAAACACAACGGAGAATCAATAGCCCGTAAAAGTTAATTTTCATTGGTTCGTATAGTTGGCTTCCAACCATCAGATGTGTGCGTGCTTAAAACCAAATATATAATTGCCGTGTTACACTATGCATTTTATCAACCCATAAAACACTATGATGTTGCTTGTATTGTAGGTACGTTCAGCTGACGAGTCCTGAATAGGACGAAACGCGCGTCCTGCTAGCCACTATCCATCCTTAATATGAAAAATAGAAAACACTAGTTTAAACCCAACGACAGTCCATGTTTCAGTTGTCAGCTGTTCATGGTGACATGATATTTAGGTATTTAGATTGAGTGATGGGTGGAACTCAACAGGGTTCAGTGTACTTTCACAGCCCCAATAGTTATACACATTCGTAAAGATTTCAATCTATCAGGATTATTTCACGTTACTGATTCATTTATTCTGTGCTTCAATAGTGGAAAGGTGAAGTAAAAAAAAGAAGCTGCCTCCTACCTACTGCTACAAATTGTTAATGTTTAATGAGACTCAGTAGGAGGCCTGCAGACATCACCACTATAATAATAATAGTAATAATAATGATAATAATAATAAGTACACAAACCGAAGTATAAGCAGTAAAATGGAATGCTGGCTTTATTTTTATTTTCAAGGTCGAACGTATGTCTGTATATACATACATATGCTTACAATACGTGTGTGTACGTGCTACTCTATTCTGCAGACTAGTAATCAATCAACTAAATAACTCTATCTTATAGTATTTACGTACAAATCACACATGCGGTGGGGATTACGAATGACTTAGAGAGAGAGAAAGAGGGAAGGGGGGAGACGGAGAGTGAGTAAGTGGATGAAGTGAAGTGAATTTTCAGAATACAAATGAACACCATTCTAATTTGCTCACCTGCACACAAAAAAATTAATTCAAAAAGTAATCTGGTAGATTTCTAACAAGCATTTTTAGACCCCCTACAAACTAATTTACTACTGTTACTCTTGTTAACTTACGCTTATTTCATGTGTCAGCTTTGTTCGTCTAATCAATGAGATATTCTACTTTGATTCGAACGTGGAGTAAAACTTGCGAATTTTATGATCTTATAGATGAAATTCCAATTGAGACATGTGTTGAACACCGATAGACAGTCAGATCTCAAACCGTTTAAAATGTAGGATGAGCAATGGATAGCTGTTCCGTCCTAGTGTGAGACTCCTCAGCAGTATGCAGTACAAAAGAGAGTTGATTGTACATTTCAGTTCCTTTTATTTTGAAAATTGTTTGAACAAATAAACTAGTCAATTGACCAGATGTACTCATTACATGGATACTGAAATAATTAATAGAGGTGTAGGCTCCAGCATTGAAAACGTCGAGTTGTGGAAAGGTATGGTACTTAGTAATTGAAAACCACAGATATTGATTATCTTAGAATGATACATCATCAGTGATATCTCAGTAAAAAGTTAATGTTTATATACGAGCAGACAGGCGAATAAACCTGAATTCTGGTACAAATGCTCATCGGCTCAAGTTGCCAGAAAAAGTGGATAGAAATATAGTGGCCTAAGAAGTAGATAAAAGTGCTTTAGATGAAGGTCATTGACGAAGAGTGTCCATATTTGCATTATTGTGAAGCATTTTGAACCATGTCACCAAGAGTCTGCAAATATTCATTCCTCTCCTCTCCAGGAGACCCAAACAAATAGCCTATACCTCCGTACATGCTTGAAATTGACAGTCAGGAACTTCATGGGCTTATACCACGTGTAAGTCTGCTCGATGTAAGCCTTCTCATAACCTAACATTGCATTTCAATGTAGGCGATGTTTCCGCATGCATGACACCTGTTCAAATCACCCAGATGATGATTTACAACCTCATCAACTGCCTTCTTTGCAGCGGTATGATTAAAATCCTGCAACCTCATCATATTTTCTACTTTCAAGGGTCTTATCTCACAACCACATACTCATACTTTAATGTATAGTCAGGTGTCTTGCCGGTACCAAAAATAGCATGAGTGAACAAATGTCAAAAGAGCCTTTTTATGTCCTAGGTGAGACTTTGTCTGTGACTTTCAACCCACTCAGGTCTAGATTACTGGCTAACATCAGTATTTTGACAAGTGGTATGGATCATAGACTACTGCAGGAACCAGAGAATAATTGCTAAACTGTATTCCACGATAATTACCACTTAACAAAGCCAAATCAATGAATTCATTGGTTGATGTGTTGAAGTAACTTCAGAGGCTAGCGACTACTGAAATAACCAATTAAATTTCTTTTTTCAGCTGGGAAGTTAGTCTTCCAAGAAGTAATAAAGCATGTCATTTTCTTCGTGAAACTACGTATAACTTCTACTTCGTTCATCAGTTGGCCGTATATATGTAAGCGATGTTTTGAAAATACCAGTAATCCAAAGCTTTCAGTCATCTTATCGCATTTACCTTCAATAATCATTTCATGTAATTCACCCCAAACTGACTGTTATGAAGAATGTAGATACGGTTGCAAACACTACTTAAGGTTTTTAAAACTCAATCAAGACTGTATCAGCGTTCATCATATCATAACAGTGGTGAGTAAATATCCAAAAATGTGACCTTGTCTCGATAGCTAAGTAATCTATTCTTCACAGGTACCCCAGTTGTTGGCAAGGTAATCAATTCTTTGGGTATCACCCTTTTTTCCTTAAACAAGTGATCAATCCATGATAAACACCTGATCTCATTTCATTGTGTTCAGAAAACTGTATATTTTATCCGCCTGTAGACTATCATGATACGCGTAGATCAAAGGGAATAATAACCGTTAAGCATCCGCAACTATTAAAAATTGAACATATAAAACAAAACTATTAAAGAATTAAGCGCATCATTTGAATTTCAGGGGAAACAAACTTACCTTAGCAAATTTAATTGTAAATGAAGGATGTGTTTCTTTGATTTGTTGTAATGCTTCATTAGCAGCGTCTTCAGAAACAAAATCAATAAATCCATATCCTATTATGTTGTTTTTTTTTAAAAAGAGAAGAGAAGGTTGCATAAATTATGTTTATCGCTAAGTGAACCAGCAAAATATAAATGGAAACAATAATTTCAAAGAGAAAAATTAATCTGGGGAAAATCTAGTCATGTTTTTCTAGTTTATGAGGGTCACAGTCCTAAAGAAGCTTCGAATAGAATTGAGGCTGGATATCTGAAGAGATAACACTCTCTTCTGGGTTTCAGAGACACTTTACTGATGGACAGCAGCGATCGCAAAACATAGATCCATCAGAGATTTCTATTGTTTGCCTCTAACCACCTTGCATAGATTACTACTAAGACATCAGGCAGCTGTGTTGATGTGTACCTTGCGAACAGTACTTCATCTCATGTAACATATCCGCCTTCGAGTAGTCCATTTTCATTGTATTTGAGTATGACTGGTCGTAATTATTACTAGAAAACATAAAGGTTTAGGTGAGCTGTGACTAACTGATCATTGTATTTGTGACGATTTCTTTTTCGGAAAAAATATCGAATATTCAATTAAGGATCATTTATGTGTGAACTAAACCTGAAGTGAAGACAGGAGTAAGACAAGACTTCCGCTTACTATCACCCATGATCTTCCTGATTGTGGTGGACTGGATCATGCAGCAAACCTTGAGGAGCGAGAAGAGGCGCAGATGCTGGTTGGGATGGTGAAAAGACCCTAGAAGATTTGGATTTCGCCGATGATGATTTATGTCTAATGTATAATGTGGCACAAACTCGAGGATCTATAGGCAAAAACTAACAAGTTGACAGAAGAGATAGGGCAGCGAAAACGGGACTTCAGGTTCAGGCGAATGTACAGAAGACGGAGGTGATGAAGATACCCAACCAACAACAGCATCAACAGCAAGCACCAATCACCATTAACAGGAGAAACCTACAGGAAGTAGTCTCTTTCATCTACCGAACTAGGCAGGATCGTTTCAACTACAGGCGGCAGTGGCGGCACAGACGAGGATGTCAAAACCAGGATGGGAAAGACAGCATGACAGGCTTTCACTAATCTGAAATCATTGTGGAGACCTGCTACACTCAGCCCAAAGAACAAGAACCGGATTTTCAGCACTAATGTCAAGTCGGTGCTGCTATATGGTTCAGAAACTTGGAGCGTCAGGAAAAGCATTTCCAACAAACCACAGACATTCATCAACAGCTGCCACCTACGCTCACCCCATACTGAAGCTCAGATGGCCAGAAGGAACAAGGAGCTCTGCGAACGAACCAACCAAGAACCTATCACCCAATAAATATGCAGAAGAAAGTGGAGATGGATTGGGCATACACTGAGAAGGCTGATTGGGGACATCACGCGCCAGGCCAGGTTGTCGAGTAGAATCCGAAGGGGAGACGATGTGTTGGCCGTCCGATGCGAGGGTGACATTGAGGAGATGGTATGAGGAAGAAATGAAAGCTTGTGGGTGGTCGTGGAGCCAGGTTGAAAAGACTGCAGAGAACAGAGTACAGTGGAGATGTGCTACTAAAGCTATATTGTTCCACTAAGAACCCAAGAGACAAGTAATAGTAATAAACTTGATAAACGTTCGAATGTCAACAAGGAGTGACTTTAAAAGCCATTACAGCAACTGCTGAAGTAACCAATCAGTTATCTCTATTTTATTTAAATCTAGCTTTCCAACCAAAATAGAGAAGCCTAACTGGTCATTTCAACTGTTACCAGGTGGCCTTTAAAGTTACCCCTTGCTGAGAGTGACTTTAGGGGCGACGTTAAAGGCTACCCCAGCAACAACTTCAATAACCAATTAAGTTTTTGTATTTTGGCAGGAAAGACAGATTTTCATAAAATAGAGAAATCTGATTAGTTACCTTAGTTGTTGCTAAAGTGGTCTTTAGAGTCACTCTTTTTTTCACTCAAGTTTAAATCAACCGGAAATTTTGCCTTTGTTGGCCTAGGCAATGAAAAGTTTTCGAGGAATCTTTTCTGTTGAAGTATTCCCTATTCAATGGCTTTTTATGCGTCATTTACTGCCATACACTCCACACTCACATACGCTTACTTCAACAGTGTGAAACGCAAACAGTCATGTAAAAACACCAAAAACAATCACGGCTGCCATCAGTTAGGTACAGGAGTTAGTGTATTAGGAGTCAGTAAACAGAAGGCTTGAATTACAGAGATAAGATGCTTATCAGCGATAAGAAATAAGTTGTGGGTACAACTTTAAGCGAATTCACATTCCGTCGAAGAATCTAACGCCTATCACTCAGTAATACAGCTAGGGGTTTGACTTTTAGTGGGAACAACATCATTCATTGTGGTGTAGGTACATCCAGCTGAAGAGTCCCAGGTAGGACGAAACGTATGTCCTAGTTTTCGTTGCTAGCCACTATCCATTATTATTATTGCATATATTAGTGCATTCTACGAAAATGGAAGTGTGTGTGTATGTGTATATATGACCAAAGAGTGAATATGTTGTCCAACGCCTCACCTTCGGAGCGTTAATCGAATGTCAATTTAGTCTTACTGATGCTTCATAAATCATTTACATTACTAAAAACATCTCTCATCAACTGAACATTTAAAAATTCAGATTGGTTTATGAATTAGATCCTAGTTGATACGCCAAGATGTAAACACTACAGAATACACCACCTAGCCAATACGAATCTCTTTTGTACAGTAACCATAATAGGCTATCATTTCATTTTTTTAGTGATCGAACCAATCAAACCACACATCAGCGCAGGTATCCAACATATTGCCATGTAAGCTACATGTGGTGTGATTGACATTAGTGGTCATTATTCCGCTGAAATTGTGTATAAAATGAGTGGTTCTGAGATTAATTTTATCTACTCTTCTTATTTATTGTTGTATTTTCAAGTTCGAGTTCCACGTTAAGCATACATGGAAACATGCCGGATACTGGCAGTGAAAGGATTGAATATATTGCTTAGATAAAAGAAGTGTACCATCTCAGGAGTTGTATGATCCTTACAGATTGGCTAGGGTGAATGCGATATCCAATAAAAGGTTGTCTAGTGTCGAACTGTTCACCACGGATCAATATCAATCAGGAGACCATTGGAAAGCACTCGATGAGTATTTCGGTCTAGTTTTAGAATACTCAATAATAGGCTCTGGGAGCCATATTCGGGATCGAGATCAGGAATGTCACTTCTTGAGATGAGCACCTTATCGAAGTAATGTGACCATGGTCAAATGTTATCAGTGTTCATCTCTGATTACATCAGAGTCGACTGCTTCCCACCGGTCACAGTGCCTCGCTAGAATTTTAGGCGATCCAATTCAAAACAAATATCTAGTGGACATTGGAACAGTATTCCATTCAGAGAGATTTGTGAGGAGTCCGTTTATTATAAAGTATTCACCATGGATCGATATCATTGAAAGAACAGTTGAAAATCAGGGATTATTGCAAAGCTAATTCTGCCCAGTTTGGAAGCCAGATGAAATCAGTGATCAATTTATACTAGTTCTGTGTTGTGAATTGTGTATCGTCTAATAAAAGTGTCTTTCTTTCTACCTAATTTACAATATGCTTGAATATAATTCCCATAAAAGCGGTTTTCGTTTCTCCTGTCTAATTTATAACAACTACTATGAAAGGGATTGTGGTGGACTGGATCATGCAACAGATAACTGTGAGGAGTGAGAAGAGGGGGATACGCTGACTCGACCGATGAAAAGACCCTAGAAGATTTGGATTTCGCCAGTGATGACTTGTGTCGAATGTCGAAAAACGTCAAGATCTATAGGCAAAACCCAACAAGTTGACAGAAGAGGCAGCGAAGGAAGTTGGGACTTCAAGTGAACGTAGAGAAGACATAGGTGGTGAAGATGAACAACCAATACTACCACGACCACCACCACCACCAACAACAACAACAAACACCAATCACCATCAATGGGAGAAACTCAAAGGAAGTAGTCTCTTTCATCTACACCTACTTAGGCAGCATCGTTTCAACTACAGACGACACACACGAGGACATCAAAGCCTGCAAGCATCGGAATAGCAAGACAGGCTTTCATTGATCTGAAACCAGTGTGGAGATCTGCACTCAGCATACAGTGTGAACAATATCCGGATTTTCAACACTGAGTCAGTCAAGTCAATGCTTCTATATGATGTTTGAGACTTAGCTCGTCACGAAATGGATTTCCAACAAACTACAGACATTCATCAACAACCGCCTACACTGGCTCCTTACTGAAGCTCAGATGGTCAGAAATAATAAGCGACAAGGAAGTGTGGCTGGCAACGAACCAACCAGGAAGCTATCGCTGAACAAATATGTAGAAGAAGAAAGTGGAGATGTATTGGGTATGCATTGAGAAGACTGATTGGGGACATCACACGTCAGGCGAGTTGAAGCCAGATGAGAAACGATGAGTTGGGTGTGGAGGTGATGGTGACATGGAGGCTACCGTGCGAGGAATAAATGAGAGCTACTGAGCTGTTGTGGGGCCAAGTTCAAAAGATCGCAGAGAAGAGAGTGGAATGGATATGTGCTACTGATGCTGTATGTTCCACTAGGACCCCAAGCGACGAATAATAATAATAATATGAATGGAGTTTTGATTCTTTCACGTTTATTGTTTTTCAGAGATTTTTTGCTTGAAATAAATCACTTTGGTGAGTGGTTGGGAAAAATTGAAACATCAAACAAACTTGTGTGAAACGAATTTTTTTATTTTATTAATACCTGCTTATTTGAGTTAACAACGCGGTAAATTATGACTTATCTATTTTCCCCAGTAAAGTACTACCACATAAGCTGAAATCCTGATACCATGTTTGTTTCAACTTTAGAAATGAAAGATAAACTAGTTTTTCTTTAAGTTCTTTCTCTGAAATGCTGAATTAATCATGTTCACCTCTACATGTGATCGGACCACGTGCTATGCTACTTATTAACTGAAAACAGTAGTATGTTATTGTTTGTACAAAAAACTGCAAAACATTGTTGATTGG